GGACCCTACAGAGGTTGCCAGGAGTCCAACCCCTCCGGATGGCAAACAATGGCCATTCCAAAAGGGGGTTTGGGCTGTTCCCCCCACACATCTCAAGAGCATGGAGGAGATTCCGGAGACGGACATTTACTTAGGAGAGCTGGACGGGACGTAAAGGCCCCTTAAACCCACAAAGCGACCGATCTGCTCCTTTGTGCAAGGGGGAACAGATGCCAGAGCCCTATAAAATAACCCCAGCAGCGTTTCTGCTGCCCATAACATTGTTCAGCATAACTGTTTTGGTGGTGGGTCAGTGATGGTCTGGGGGGGCATATCCATGGAGGAACGTACAGACCTCTACAGGGTAGACAATGGCACCCTGAATGCTATTAGGCCATTGTCAGACCCTACGCTGGTGCAGTGGGTCCTGGGTTCCTCCTGGTGCAGTGGGTCCTGTTTTTCCTCCTGGTGCAGTGGGTCCTGTTTTCCTCCTGGTGCAGACAATGTCTGGCCTCATGTGGTGAGAGTATGCAGGCAGTTCCTGGAGGATGAAGGAATTGACACCATTGAATGGCCACCAAACCTAAATCCATTAGAAACCTCTGGGATGTTATGTTTTGGTCCGTCCAACTGCACCTCAGACTGTCCAGGAGCTCAGTGGTTCCCTGGTCCAGATCTGGGAGGAAATCCCGCAGGACACCATCCGTCATCTCATTAGGAGCCTCCCCCGACATTGTCACTCAGGCATGCATACAAGCACGTGGGGGCCATACAAACTACTGAGTATCATTCTGAGTTGCTGCAATTAAATTTCAGCACAATGGACTCGCCTGCTGCATCACTTTTTCACTTTGATTTTCATGTGTCTGAATTCAGTCCTCTGTAGATCGATCGTTTTCATTTCCTTCAAACGATGGGCGTCCTTACATTGCCCTGTCCATATCAGTATACATATTCAGCAAGAGAGTTTTCCCCATTGAGATCTGATGGGTTTTCAAAGTACCTCTCATTTTTTGAGCAGTATATATATATATATATATAAAACGTTTTCCATCATCTCAATGGCACGCCCATTTTAGGGCTGGACATGTTGGCTATCTATTGACTTGGCACAACCTCATCTTTTATATTTTACTAACAAATTGGTAAAAATAATGTATCTGTATTCTCAAAAATTCAAAACTATCACCATTGTATTCTCCAGGCCTCTCCTTTCATGATATATATGTTTGGGGGTTTAACTAATCTTCAGGCCCAAAGTCTGCGGTTTAATATGTACGCAAAAGAAAAATGCAGAAACAGCTCTGGCAGTGAGAGGGTTAATGTGGGCTAGATGGGATCCTCTGCTGGGGTCACACTGTACACATTAGAGCTCCCCCTAGCTGCAGCCTGGTAATAACATTGCTGGGAGGTCTATTCACTGCTACATACTTCCCCACCTTTATAGAAACATATTCTGCAGCACAGTGGCTCAGTGGTTAGCACTTCCTCCTAGCAGCTCTAATGTCATTGATTTGAATTCCAACCACTTCCCTACCTGTCTGGAGTTTGCATGTTCTCCCTGTGCCTGTGTGGGTTTCCTCTGGGTACTCCGGTTTCCTCCCACACTCCAAAGACATGCTGGAAGGTAATTGGCTCCTGTCTATATTGGCCCCTAGTATGTGTATGTATGAATGTTAGGGACCTTAGACTGTAGGCTCCTCGGGGGCGGGGACTGATGGGTAATATGTAAATTGATGGCCCTATATAAGTATCTGTAATCATCTAGGAGTCTGTTCATAAAACAATTGCACAGCAATACACCCGGTGAATGTGCCTGTCATTCCCTCTGTGTGAAAATGGGATGGGGGGAGTAGAGGGAGTAGGCTCTGTGCTGGGCGGGGTGAATGGTTTCCATGGATATAAAATGGAGAATACCACATTTGGCAATAAAATGGTTCTAATTTCTGATACTTAGCGCCATCTAAAAGGCCAGAAAAAGTATGGCATTTTATTTCTTGACTTTGTAAAATCATCCTTGCCCCTAGGTGGATGCTGCACCCATCCCCCCACCGGCTCCAAGTGTGAGAACTCAGCGATCATGTGATTGCTGACCATGAGTTCTCACAGCCGTTCTGAGCAGAGAGTGGTGACTGTCAGTCACCGCTCTCTGCCCTGCCCCCCCCCCCCCCACATTCACTGGGCTGTGGAGGGGGAGGGCTGGTCCAGACTCTGATGTCAGGATCTTTTCCAGCCTGGACCGGCTGAGTGACGTCAGCTGACAGCGGGCTTCACCTGAAAACGGGTCACAGGAGTTCAGAATGAACTGCACTCCTCTGATCCACAGGAGAAGTACAGACAAAAGAGCTTTGCCTGAACTTCTCCTTCAAAGAATATGTTCCTCCAACATGTCCTATTCCTGATCTGTGCCGGCTGTCCCATGTCTCTGGTATGAAGACGTCTCCTCTCCTCTCTGTATTGCTTCCTTTGTGTGAGATCCCCGGTGATCCTGCCAGTCCTCTGATTTCCTATTAAAAAATGACCACAGTAGGCATGAGAGTTCAGCATGGTCAGTTCTGTAGCTGTGCTGGGAGCTCAGTCTGCTCTCCTCCAATCATCAGACTTGTCTTGACATCTCCCCTCCCTGCACAGCCATTCACTGGGAAGACCAGGGAACTGAAGACAAGTGATCCCATGAATAGTAGTAAGGAGAATGTCATTTCCTGATATCATTGCTTACTACCAATGAAATCTGTGAATGATGACAGAGGTCACATGGTACAGGGCTATTCCCAACAGACTTGTACCATGTGACAAGCTGGGACCAATCACAGCTCTCACAGTATTTCTCAATGGCTGCAGGAATGCAGCCAGAGAGAACGAGAAATTATTGCTTTTACAGCCTTTATGAGTGTAATAAAACATAAATAATAATAAAAAAAATAAAAATGTAAATTTTTTTTTTAAAAAAATAATTTTTGGTTATAAACTAATTTGTTTTTTTTTTTTTACTAAAAACGATATCTGAATACATTTTGGCCAAAATTTATGAAGAAAGATTATTTATTTGCAATATTTTATAAGAGAAAACCCTTTTTTTACAAAGTTTTTGGACATTTTCATTTATATAGCAAAAAAAAATAAAAATTCCGGCAGTGAATAAAAACCACCAAAATAAAGTTTTATGGGTCTCAGAGTGCGGGAGTGTGACCTCAGGGTGCGGGAGTGTGACATCAGGGTGCGGGAGTGTGACATCAGGGTGCAGGAGTGTGACCTCAGAGTGCGGGAGTGTGACCTCAGGTTGCGGGAGTGTGACCTCAGGGTGCCGGAGTGTGACCTCAGAGTGCCTCAGGAGAGTGTGACGTCAGAGTGCGGGAGTGTGACGTCAGAGTGCGGGAGTGTGACCTCAGAGTTCGGGAGTGTGACCTCAGAGTGCGGGAGTGTAAGTGCGGGAGTGTAACCTCAGAGTGCGGGAGTGTGACCTCAGGGTGCGGGAGTGTGACCTCAGAGTGAGGGAGTGTGACCTCAGGTGGCGGGAGTGTGACCTCAGGTGGCGGGAGTGGCGACCTCAGGTGGCAGGAGTGTGACCTCAAGTAACACAGAGATTTCCTATGATCGCCGGCTCCATCTAGTGGCCACAATGAGGTGATTTTTCTGAAATATCTCCATCAGTAAAACTAACCCAATATGATATTATGGCCACTAGATGGAGCCAATGATCATAAGAAATAAAATACGGCCAAAACTCCTCCCAGCTGGAGAATGTGGGTCACATCAGTTCAACATTGTTCTCCATAGACCTCCAAGTGTTTGTGAAATCTCCCACCACAAAATATACTCAGCCAATCACAGGGCAGGACTCCATTTTTATTCTTCCTCCTGCCATCAATGGCCAACCCGGTCCCACACTTCATCCATGTCTTTGGTGACCTCTGATCTCCTTATGAACTGTTTCTTCCATGATGAAGATCAGCCATGGAGTATATCTGAGGTGTATATCAGGGTGTGCTTCTTCCCCACGAGAGCTGGGATGTCCAGCAACATTCATCTAGAAGACATTTCCCGCACTCAAGGCACTAATACACCTCCGGGGTTGTGTGGGACCCCTGATGTACAGGAAGACAGGACTACAGTGAGGAACATTTCCCTCACTCAGGACAGGAAAGTGGCTTCTCCCCCGTGTGAGATCTCTGATGTTTGTGCAGACTGGACTTCTCTGAAAAACATTTCCCACACTCAGGACAGGAAAACGGCTTCTCCCCCGTGTGAGATCTTTGATGTCTGACAAGTTTTGATTTTTCTATAAAACATTTCCCGCACTCAGAACAGGAATACAGCTTCTCCCCAGTGTGAGATCTTTGATGTGTGTAAAGATTTGATGACTTTGAAAAACATTTCCCACACTCAGGACAGGAATACGGCTTCTCCCCTGTGTGAAATCTTTGATGTTTTTGTAGAATGGACTTCTCTGAAAAACATTTCCCACACTCAGGACAGGAATATGGCTTCTCCCCCCGTGTGAGTTCTCTGATGTTTGTACAAACTGGAATGCTCCGAAAAACATTTCCCGCACACAGGACAGGAATATGGCTTCTCCCCTGTGTGAGATCTCTTATGTTTGTGCAGACTGGAATTCTGTGAAAAACATTTCCCGCACTCAGGACAAGGATATGGCTTCTCCCCCGTGTGAGATCTCTGATGTGTGTAAAGACTGTACTTCTCTGAAAAACATTTCCCGCACTCAGGACAGGAATATGGCTTCTCTCCCGTGTGTGAGATCTCTGATGTCTGAAAAGATGGAACTTTGATAAATAAACATTTCCCACACTCAGGGCAGGAAAACGGCTTCTCCCCCGTGTGAGATCTCTGATGTGCGTGAAGACTAGCTTTGTCTAAAAAGCATTTCCCACACTCAGGACAGGAATACGGTTTCTCCCCCGTGTGACACCTTCGATGTGTGTAAAGATTTGACTTATTAGAAAAAGATTTCCCGCACTCAAGACAGGAATACGGCTTTTCCCCTGTGTGAGATCTCTGATGTCTGTAAAGATTGGACATCACTGAAAAACATTTCCCGCACTCAGGACAGGAATGTGGCTTCTCCCCGTGTGAGATCTTTTATGCACATTAAGATAGGATTTAGTACGGAACCTCTTCCCGCACTCAGTACAGGAGAACCTCTTCCCTGTTGGAAGGCCGGCCCGGTCCCGCACAGTCTGAGGTTCCTCAGGATACAAGGAATCCGATGGTCCATCTCTACACTGGGTGGTGCCGGATGGACATTGGAGGGGGCCGGGTTTTCTCCTGGACTATACTGTGTGATGTCCTCATCTTCTACTTTCCAGTCTGGAGACAAAGTGAGACAATCCTCGGAGGTTTTCCCTCATCTCCCGGCCATGGACTAAAATACAAAGACAAAGAGGATTACTAGACAGGAGCTGATTGGTTCCCCCAAACCAGGACTCCGCCCACCTCAGGCAGCTTGGTCTCTGAGGAGCTTACAATTCCACCCTCAAGGGAACTAGGAAATGGCTCCTCTGATCTCCTACCAGGTCATTTCTTTATTCATGGACCTTAGTCAGAGAGTGAGGAAACAACCAGAACTGTCTTTTATAGGAGGGACAGTGATGAGGGGATTATAGGACGAGGGTCCCCACCCCCTCTATCACTCATCGCCATCTTCCCAACACAAGAAGTACTGCACTTCCTTATTTAGTCCATGATTTAGTCATGAAGAACAGCGGGGCTGAGCCCCACCAGAGGTCAGAGAGTGAGGATGGGGGGAGAACAACCAAGATGAAGACTGGACTGATCCTGAAGACCACCATCATTGGGGTATTGACTCCTCCCTCATTATCACTTTCTGTTTAAGGGTCCAAAGTTGGAGGATGTTATCACATTATTATCACCATGTAAAAGTCTGTGCTCCAATCACATCATCCGATATAAAATGTCCAGCTGGGAGGAAATGGGGGGAACAAAAGAGAATCCATATTATGTGTATATATAGCAGTGGGGGGAGGGGGGGAGAGCAGAAGTTAGGACTATGGAATGTACAACATAGAGTATATAGTGCAGGGGTCAGGAGTATGTAATGTACAACATGGAGTATATAGTGCAGGGGTCAGGAGTATGTAATGTACAACATAGAGTATATAGTGCAGGGTCAGGAGTATGTAATGTACAACATAGAGTATATAGTGCAGGGGTCAGGAGTATGTAATGTACAACAGAGTATATAGTGCAGGGTCAGGAGTATGTAATGTACAACATAGAGTATATAGTGCAGGGGTCAGGAGTATGTAATGTACAACATAGAGTATATAGTGCAGGGTCAGGAGTATGTAATGTACAACATAGAGTATATAGTGCAGGGTCAGGAGTATGTAATGTACAACATAGAGTATATAGTGCAGGGGTCAGAGTATGTATGTAATGTACAACACAGAGTATATAGTGCAGGGGTCAGGAGTATGTAATGTACAACATAGAGTATATAGTGCAGGGGTCAGGAGTATGTAATGTACAACATAGAGTATATAATGCAGGGGTCAGGAGTATGTAATGTACAACATGGAGTATATAGTGCAGGGGTCAGGAGTATGTAATGTACAACATGAGTATATAGTGCAGGGGTCAGGAGTATGTAATGTACAACATAGAGTATACAGTGCAGGGGTCAGGAGTATGTAATGTACAACATACAATATATAGTGCAGGGGTCAGGAGTATGTAATGTACAACATAGAGTATATAGTGCAGGGGTCAGGAGTATGTAATGTACAACATGGAGTATATAGTGCAGGGGTCAGGAGTATGTAATGTACAACATAGAATATATAGTGCAGGGGTCAGGAGTATGTAATGTACAACATACAATATATAGTGCAGGGGTCAGGAGTATGTAATGTACAACATACAATATATAGTGCAGGGATCAGGAGTATGTAATGTACAACATAGAGTATATAGTGCAGGGGTCAGGAGTATGTAATGTACAATATAAATTATACAGTATAAGGGTCAGGACTCATAATATTGTTATTCAGCAAACCATAGAAGTTTAAATATTTTACTGTAGACAAGTTGCAGAGATCCCACACCGCTGCCTCCCATCTCCTGAGACTGCACTCAGTGACTTGTAACTCTAGGGGGATTGTTCTGTAAGAGATGGAGTAAAAGACTCAAAGCACACACCCCCAGGTGCCTAGGTCTAGTAACACTTATGGTGAAAATGAACATTTTGCTGCCAGCTGAACCCCAGAACCTCCATAAATCCAGTCTAGATACATAAATTGTGTCTGCAGCACAGAGAAGGAAGATTATCCGAGAGAAATCCAGGAATACAGGACGGGGAACACAGCTCAGGAAAGTGACCAGGGGATTACAGGCTGATATCACCCAGTCCCCGCCCTACTCTGGACCAATCAGTGAGCAGTATGGGTGGAGGAATGGATTTAGTGTTCATGACCCACCTGTGCTGATCTCTGTAGGAGTGTCCTCCTCTATAAATGTCCCCGTTATTCCATCCTCCTCCATAGACTGCTGATCATCCCTCACATACGCCTCTTCTTCTTCTGCTTTCACCTCAAATTCTATATCGATTGGATCTCCACTCTAAATCAAGGAAATGAGAGAAAATATCATCTGTAAAATGTAAGATTTATGATTGTGACATCACACACAAAATCCACACATTGTCTCCCTTCACAGAAGCAGATCACATGTGATATGTCGGTACATTTCCCCTAAATACCGCATGCCATCCTGAAACTGTCCATTTCCTATCCCGTGTTGCGGTATTGACCACAAACACTGAAAACCGCTCAGTAAATACTCCCCCAGACCACCTTGTCCATATTGATGAGCACAAGGGACTCTTCCCCACAACCCAGGCTAGTGGCTGTGGGGGTTTGCAGGCAGAGGACTTACAAAATGTAACAAGGGAGCCCTCAGATCCCTCACCCCATGTGAATGAGTATGGGGTACATGGTACCCCTACTTAGTCACCACAAAAAAGTATTCTGTTAAATACAGCAGGCAGTTTTTGACAAGTTCTTTATTAAAAAAAAACAAAACTAAAGCAAAATGTCCCCCCCGGTGTAGATCCATTATCAATCACGATGCTCGCTGTCACCGCTGACTCGGAAAGAAAAGCTCCGCTCCCAATGAAGACTCCCCTCTGTCTGACAGCTCTGCTGCCTCCTGCCACTAAATATACTAAGGGACGGTGCCACTCGGTGATGTCACTGACCGGGGCATGTTGTATTGGTGATGTCACTGACCGGGTCATGTTGTATTGGTGACGTCACAAGAGGGCAAGGCCACCCAGTGATGTCACAGGGTGGTGGCGCTCCTTAGTTTATTTAGAAGTGGGAGGCGACAGAGCTGTCAGACGGCAGGAGGAGTCGAGCTTTGTTTTTTCTTCGAGTCAACAATGACAGCGATTATTGTGATTGGATCATCGATGGATCTACATCAGGGGGATATTGTTCTTTATTTGTGTTTTGCCAAAAATTACTTTGAGTTTTTTTTACACTTTTTTTTGTGAATGAATAGGGGTGCTATGTACAGGTGTAACTCGAAAAATGAGAATATGGTGCATTCATTCATTCATTTCAGTGCAGCAACTTAAAAGGTGACACTAATATGTGAGATAGACTCATTCCATGCAAAGCAAGATAGTTCAAGCCGTGATTTGTCATCATTGTGATGATTATGGCTTACAGTTCATGAAAACCCCAAATCCACAATCTCAGAAAATGAGAAAATTCCATGCAATCAATAAAACACGGATTGTACATAGAACAATATCGCACCTCTGAAAAGTAGAGAAGCTGCATATGTACTCAGTACTTGGTTTGGGCCCCTTTTGCAGCAATTACTGCCTCAATGCGGCGTGGCATGGAAGCTATCAGCCTGTGGCACTGCTGAGGTGTTATGGAAGACCAGGATGCTTTAATAGCGGCCTTCAGCTCTTCTGCATTGTTCGGTCTCATGTTTCTCATCTTTTTATCTTGGCAATGCCCCATTTATTCTCTGTGGGATTCAGGTCAGGCAAGTTTGCTGGCCAATCAAGCACAGTAATCCCACGGTCATTGAACCAGGTTTTGGTGCTTATTGCAGTGTGGGCGGAGCCAAGTCCTGCTGGAAAATGAAGTCAGCATCCCCCCATAAAGCTCGTCTGCGGAAGGAAGCATGAAGTGCTCCAAAATCTCCTGGTAGACGGCTGTGTTGTCCCTGGACTTAATGAAGCACAGTGGACCAACGCCAGCAGTTGACATGGCTCCCCAAATCAACACAGACTGTGGAAACTTCACACAGGACTTCAAGCATCTTGCAGTGTGTGCCTCTCCATTCTTCCTCCATACTCGGGGTCCTTGTGCCTCTCCATTCTTCCTCCATACTCGGGGTCCTTGGGCCTCTCCATTCTTCCTCCATACTCGGGGTCCTTGGGCCTCTCCATTCTTCCTCCATACTCGGGGTCCTTGGGCCTCTCCATTCTTCCTCCATACTCGGGGTCCTTGGGCCTCTCCATTCTTCCTCCATACTCGGGGTCCTTGGGCCTCTCCATTCTTCCTCCATACTCGGGGTCCTTGGGCCTCTCCATTCTTCCTCCATACTCGGGGTACTTGGGCCTCTCCATTCTTCCTCCATACTCTGGGTCCTTGGGCCTCTCCATTCTTCCTCCATACTCTGGGTCCTTGGGCCTCTCCATTCTTCCTCCATACTCTGGGTCCTTGTGCCTCTCCATTCTTCCTCCATACTCGGGGTCCTTGTGCATCTCCATTCTTCCTCCATACTCTGGGTCCCTGTGCCTCTCCATTCTCCTCCAGTTCTTCCTCCATTCTCCTCCATACTCGGGTCCTTGGCCTCTCCCATTCTTCCTCCATACTCGGGGTCCTTGTGCCTCTCCATTCTTCCTCCATACTCGGGGTCCTTGGGCCTCTCCATTCTTCCTCCATACTCGGGGTCCTTGTGCCTCTCCATTCTCCTCCATTCTTCCTCCATACTCCATCTCGGGGTCCTTGTGCTCTCCATTCTTCCTCCATACTCGGGGTCCTTGGGCCTCTCCATTCTTCCTCCATACTCGGGTCCTTGGGCCTCTCCATTCTTCCTCCATACTCGGGGTCCTTGGGCCTCTCCATTCTTCCTCCATACTCGGGGTCCTTCCTCTCCATTCTTCCTCCATACTCGGGGTCCTTGGGCCTCTCCATTCTTCCTCCATACTCGGGGTCCTTGGGCCTCTCCATTCTTCCTCCATACTCGGGGTACTTGGGCCTCTCCATTCTTCCTCCATACTCGGGGTCCTTGGGCCTCTCCATTCTTCCTCCATACTCGGGGTCCTTGGGCCTCTCCATTCTTCCTCATACTCGGGTCCTTGTGCCTCTCCATTCTTTCTCCATACTCGGGGTCCTTGTGCATCTCCATTCTTCCTCCATACTCTGGGTCCTTGTGCCTCTCCATTCTTCCTCCATTCTTCCTCCATACTCGGGGTCCTTGGGCCTCTCCATTCTTCCTCCATACTCGGGGTCCTTGGGGCCTCTCCATTCTTCCTCCATACTCTGGGTCCTTGGGCCTCTCCATTCTTCCTCCATACTCTGGGTCCTTGTGCATCTCCATCTTCCTCCATACTCGGTCCTTGGGCCTCTCCATTCTTCCTCCATACTCGGGGTCCTTGTGCATCTCCATTCTTCCTCCATACTCTGGGTCCTTGGGCCTCTCCATTCTTCCTCCATACTCAGGGTCCTTGCTTTCCAAATGACATGCAAAAGTTGCTCTCATCAGAAAAGAGGACTTTGGACCACTGAGCAACAGACCAGGTCTGTTTTTCTTTAGTCCAGGTAAGACGCTTCTGACGTTGTTTGCTGTTCAGGAGCGGCTTGACAAGAGAAATATGACATTTGAAACCCATGTCCAGGATCCGTCAGTGTGTGGTGGCTCTTGATGCACTGACTCCAGCCTCAGTCCATTCCTTGTGAAAGTCCTCAACACTTTTGAATGGCCTTTTCCTGACAATCCTCTCCAGGCTACGGTCATCCTTGCTGCTTGTGCACCTTTTTCTTCCACACTTTTCCCTTCCACATAACTTTCTATTAATGTGCTTTGATACAACACTTTGGGAACATCCAACTTCTTCTGCAATTCCCTTTTGAGGCTTTCCCTCCTTATGGAGGGTGTCAGTGATGGTGTCAGGTCAGCAGTCCTTCCCATGATTGTGATTAATACTGAACCAGACTGAGAGACCATTTAAAGGCTCAGGAACCCTTTGCAGGTGTTATGGCTGAATGAGCTGATTAGAGTGGGACACTTGGAGCCGAGATTATTCCACCTTTTCACAATATTCTCATTTTCTGAGATTGTGGATTTGGGGTTTTCATGAGCTGTAAGCCATAATCATCACAATGATGACAAATCACGGCTGGAACTATCTTGCTTTGCATGGAATGAGTCTCATATATTAGTTTCACCTTTTAAGTTGCTGCACTGAAATAAATGAACTTTTGCACCATATTATCATTTTTTGAGTTTCACCTGTACTCTATACTCATTAACATTGTGGGGGCTGGGATCTGGGGGCCTCCTTGCTAAAGGTGGCTTCCAGATTCCAAAAAGCACCCCACCCACAGCCCCCCACAACCACTGCCCAGGGTTGTGGGAAAGGGACCCTTGTCCTCATCGACACAAGAATAAGGTGCTTTTGGGGCGGGCAGAGCGCCCCTGCCCTTAAGCACCCACCGCATGTTGAGGATATGTGGCCTGGTATGGTTCAGGAGGAAGGTGGGCACTCACTAAGGTCTGGTATTGATTTTGAAGGGGAACCCACACCTTTTTTTTTATTATTTTGGCATCGGGGTTCTCATCAAAATCCATACCAGACCTGTCACAGCTGTCAGCGGGAACTTGGTGGCCGTCCGCTCCTTGTTTACTGGTTGTTGGGGACACTGGCGGCTGCCCTCTCCTTAACAACAAGCTATTTACAAGTGTTGCTATGGAGACCAGTGGTAAAATTACCCGCAGGCTTCATTACTAAAAAACAGAATGCAGCATCTTACTACATACTGGGATACGGGAAGATCCCGCTTTGTGATTGGAGCCCATAGTCTCTACAAGTCCATGTTCTAGATTCCCCATCCCACCAACCTTGTAATAGTGAGGGATGGTGTGACCTTCCTGTGTGGAATCCTGGGAATACAGAGGACGGGGACATCTCTCTGGTGGGTTCCTGGTATTAGGTGGCTCCATCATATCCTTGTGTCCTTCTGAAAACTCCTCCATCACTCCATACTCCTCATCCTCCTCTTTATACTCTTCTTTAACATCAATATTATCATCCCCGAGGATTCCACTCTGAAAGATATAATAAAACATTCATTGTAACAAACATGCTGTGTATAAATCACAACTACCAATAATTGTCATCATCTACCTGATGATGGTGAGGGATGGTGTGACCTTCCTGTGTGGAATCCCAGGAATACAGAGGACGGGGACATCTCTCTGGTGGGTTCCTGTAGCTGGATGACTCCACCATGGTGTCCTGGTACAGATCTTTGTGTTCCTTTAGAAGCTCTGACTCCTCCATCCCCCCATCCTCATCCTCCTCCTCTTTTATCTCTTCTTTAACCTCAACTTTAGAATCTCTCAGGTTTCCACTCTGAATATATAATAAAATGCCATCAATGGTAACAATGCAGATAATGTACAGATCCTAATGATACTATCAGTGATTGTTCCTCATCTACCTGATGATGGTGAGGGATGGTGTGACCTTCCTGTGTGGAATCCCGGGAATCCAGAGGATGGGGACATCTCTCTGGTGGGTTCCCATGACTGGATCCATCTGTAGGAAACACACACACTGACTGAATCCATTGTTTCTATGTGTTTATCAGATGATGGGGGATCTAAGTGGATCCTCCGTACTGCTCTCTCCTTTACAATAAAGTCTCCTCTTTACCCGGTGATGTGAGGGGCGGCTGATTGTCCATCATGACGTCCTTGTAGAGATCCTTGTGTCCTTCTAAATACTCCCACTCCTCCATGGAGAAATAGACAGTGACACCCTGACACCTTATAGGAACCTGACACACACAATGATACAGTCACCATCCAGGACACATCCCTTGTCTGTTACTGGAGAATGTCCCAGAATTCCCGGCACCGCTCACCTCTCCTGTCAGCAGCTCAGTGATCTCTCTGGTGACTTCTAGAATCTTCTTCTTCTTTCTCTCTTCTATCAGGGAGGGAGGTGGAGGCAATGTGATGTCATATGATCTCCAGACTTCACAGGAGGAAAACTCTACATCTGAACACAAATAGTCACATCAATGATATTCCCAGAATCCTCCTCACCTCTCCATTCAGGTCTCCATTTTATTAAAGCCCCACTTCAGGCTGAGGTATCATTTCCCCCCACAGGACCCCCACACTACGCAGATAAAAGGAATTCTGACGTCATTACATAAAATGCTGGAGCAACAGTTCTGCTTTGGCTGTGAGGATGCAAAGTGTCCGCCCATATCTTAAGAGCACCGGAAAAAAAGAAAAAAGAGCTGGATGGAGGGACATTGGGGGCTGTGAGGTCAGTATGATGTCATAGGATTCTCTGACTCTGGATGGAGGGACATTGGGAGGAGGAGCTGTGAGGTCAGTGTGATGTCATAGGATTCTCTGACTCTGGATGGAGGGACATTGGGAGGAGGAGCTGTGAGGTCAGTGTGATGTCATAGGATTCTCTGACTCTGGATGGAAGGACATTGGGAGGAGGAGCTGTGAGGTCAGTGTGATGTCATAGGATTCTCTAACTCTGGATGGAGGGACATTGGGAGGAGGAGCTGTGAGGTCAGTGTGATGTCATAGGATTCTCTGACTCTGGATGGAAGGACATTGGGAGGAGGAGCTGTGAGGTCAGTGTGATGTCATAGGATTCTCTGACTCTGGATGGAGGGACATTGGGAGGAGGAGCTGTGAGGTCAGTGTGATGTCATAGGATTCTCTGACTCTGGATGGAAGGACATTGGGAGGAGGAGCTGTGAGGTCAGTGTGATGTCATAGGATTCTCCATCCCCCGCCATTTATAAAAGTGGTATAATCCTTTGGTATAGACTGATGAGGTAAGAGAGTGATTGGTGGGAAAGGTGACACAGCTCCACAATGAGGTCGACTGTTCCGGCCCCGGAAGTGGGGGAATGTTCTGCCCTGAAGGGGTTAATCTGGGTTCCCACACTATATATGTGTGTATCATCATCTGCTGGAGATAAAAGATGTCACAGTGACTATGGAGGAAGAGGACGGACATGACTATGGAGGAAGAGGACGGACGTGACTATGGAGGAAGAGACGGACGTGACTGGCGCTATGGAGGAAGAGGACAGACATGACGGGGGGTTACTGGGTGTAAATAGAACATAACATCTTATTACCTCCTCTGCTGCTACTTCCAGCCACGTCTCATCTCTACTTCCTGTCTATGTCTGACATCACTTCTTGTCTGTACCTGACATCACTTCCTGTCTGTCTTCCATAGAGACTTCCTGTCTGGGTAGAAGTGAGATCCCCACCTTGTGGAGCTCAGAGGAACTGCAGCCCCGAGAAGCGTCTGGTAGTGTGACCCGGCCTTGTGCTGGGTGTGTATGGACTGTAGATCCTTGTGTAGGAGGAAATGACTCCTATCTGTGACTGCTGTAACCTGCTGACTGGCATCTCCTGTGAAATCTGACACTGGCACTGGATACACACAAGGCAGTCAGGGATTTCAGCCCCTCCCTTCTCCTCTCAGACTGTAATACAGAGAGAGCCAATCAGAAGAGGTATTAAAGGAGCCATGACAGGGACTTTCTCAAGCAGGAGGTGCAGCTGCAAAGCATTGTGGGATATACAGTCCTGAACAGAAATGGCCTGATAGGCTGATATGAGGGATGGAACTACAGAGACCAGCATGCTTAGTGAGAGCAGAGTGAAGGACTCCATCTTGTTTTTCCTGAGGGAGGCAGTCTGCATGTGGCAGGAGACAGTCTGGACCTGGCAGAGAAGTGCTCAGGGTCAGTTCACTCCATGTTTGGGTATCTGCATCAGTCAGGGAACATCCAACCTGAGAGATGTGGCCTACAGTACAGTGCCTACACCGACAGTGTGAAGGGCTCATCGTGAGGTGACCACAGGAGCCGGTCATTTCCAGGACCATGGTTTGGGCCTTAGTCCCAGGATCTGGTGAGAGGGATTTTGCCCCCTGGCAGATGACAGGAACACGGCACACAGAGACATGACACTTCTCCCATACTCACCAGGCACTTGGTTGTGTAGATGACTCTGCTATACAGACACAGTGTTTGCTTTCCTATACAAATCCTGCCACGGGATTACAATGATACTTTACCATAGGAGTGTAAGTGCACCAATGAAAGTGTCTCGCTGAAGACCCCAACATTCATCCTGTTACCAAGAGACTGAAGTTACTGGTGCCATACGGGCACGCGCATGCGTATTCAGGCCTCTATATTACATGGTGTGGGAGGGAATAGCTCTACCTTGGAAAGTAGCTATGAAGCATCAGTTGGGCGCAGTGTTTGCCTATTGGGCTTGTGGTGTCGGGGGTTAGAAGGGAGAAGTCTGACACCACAGAGAGTCATCCTTCTGCTCTCCTCCTGCTTGGACATCATAGAGCTGAGAGTTTATGTAAAGGGGTTTAGACCCACATTGAGGGCGCCATGTAAGTGTTTCCTCTGCTCTTGGGGTTATTCACGGTTGGAATCCACTGAAAGCAGCCTGAGTGTAAAAGTGAGTTATATTGCTTCCGGTCTCAGGATTTGCTGTTCTCTGGATTCACCGAACGTATACCTGTTGTTCATGTTTATTACTTCCCATAGAGGTCTTACAGTAAAGCTGATCTCTGTGTTTATTATACCGTGTGTGCTTTTCATTGGTCCTTGTACTTCACTATTGTCAGGGGTGTCAGTTGGGGCTGAGACAGTTCTTGGGGTTGGGAGGCAGAGTGGTGGAGTGAACAAACTTACCCCCTTTGGGGGATCACTACACTTATAGAGGGGTCACCTCCACTCCCACCAAGGGGGACAGAAATATATGACTGCCTAGTCCCAGCCTTCCTCAGCCAGGGGTCCTCCAAAGTTTTCTTCGGGGCTCCTTCAGCAATGAACAATTCCTGTGTGAATTTGTTCAGATTACAAGTCCCCATTATCTGGGTAAGGGGGTGTCAATCATCGCACGTCCGCTGACATTTACAGATCTAGAGAAAAGTTTTAAATTGCCAACAAATTACGTTTCCCTCCCAGATTCCTTTTTCACTCAGCCAATGCGGGACCGCTGCATTTTTCAAAGTCCTACTTGTCACATTTTTAGTGCAGGTTTGCTTGTGGTAAAAAAAAAGCCACACAAAAAACGCACCTCCCCAATGAAATCAATGGAAAACATGGCAAACCACATCAAAAATGCACCTGCCTTGTGTTTTTGGTGCAGTTTGTGAGTCACATGCATTGCCTGTACTTGTTGGGGGTCAAAGAACAGCCTCATCACTTCAATGGGTCACATTCAGCAGGAGATACACCCATCAAAAGTGACATCTTGGGGATAATTTCCTGCTGTGACTGCGAAGACAACCATCACTACTGGGATATGTGTAGATGCTGCCCACTGCCTCTGCAGATATAGGGGGCAGTAAAAGTTCAGCTCAACTGTGAGGTCTAACAATATAAAGGAAAACTCTGCTTCAAAACTAAATAGGTGTGGGGGTTCCCCTTTAATATCCATACCAGACCCTCATCCAGCATTAGGAGAAGTATGAAGATGAAGGGGAAAACTCCCCTAAAAATGAACTAATGATAACAAGGTGTGTTATCTTATTGACAAATGGTGGGTCCCCCATATACCCCAGTAATGGTTGGCTCCCCCGAAACTCCATTGTAATGGTGGGTTCCCCCACACACCCCAGCAATGGTGCCCCCCCGCGCGCACACACCCTGGTAATGGTGAGCCCTCCCGCACACTCCCAGGTTATGGTGGATTCCTCCATACACATAAGTAATGGTAGGTCCCCCTGCAAAATCCCAGCAATGGGGGTATCCCTTCCCACACAAACCCTGGTAAAGGGGTAGGTCCCCCACACACTATGCCATGGGGCCCATTAGCACACCTAGGATTGACACGGGGTGATGCCAGTTAGAGGGGTGGGAGATTAGTGAACATTCTCTCCTGGATCCCCCCTTCCTTTCATTGAACATTTACTCCTGGATTTCCACTTCCCATGGTGAACATTCACTCCTGGATTTCTCCCTCCTGGAGTGAGCATTCGTTCATGGATATCACCTTCCTTCAGTGAATGTTCACTCCTGGATCCCCCTTCCTTCAGTTAGCATTGACTGGTGGATATCAGAGGATGGGGAGACGTCAGAGGTCCATCAGCTTCATCAGATGACAGGGGAGTCATCAGAGGTCCATCAGATTCATCAGATGACAGGAGAGACATCAGAAGTCCATCAGCTTCATCTGAGAATGGGGAGACATCAAAATGTCCATCAGCTTCATTGTAGAACAAGGGAGACATCAGAGGTCCATCAGCTTCATCAGATGACAGGAGAGACATTATAGGTCAATCAGCTTCATCTGAGAACAGGGGAGATATCAAAATGTCCATCAGCTTCATTGTAGAACAAGGGAGACATCAGAGGTCCATCAGCTTTATCAGAGGACAGGGGAGTCATCAGAGGTCCATCAGCTTTATCAGAGGACAGGGGAGTCATCAGAGGTCTATCAGCTTCATCAGAGGACAGGGGAGTCATCAGAGGTCCATCAGCTTCATCATAGGACAAGGGAGACATCAGAGTTCCATCAGCTTTATTGGAGGACAGGGGAGACATCAGAGTTACATCAGCTTTATTGGAGGACAGGGGAGTCATCAGCAGAGGTCCATCAGCTTCATCAGAGGATAGGCACACATCAGAGTCCATCAGCCTCATTGGAGATGGGAGACATCAGAGGTCCATTAGCTTCATCAGAGGACAGAGGAGAAATCAAAGGTCTATCAGCTTCATCAGAGGACAGGGGAGACATCAGAGGTCCATCAGCCTCATTGGAGACAGGGAGACATCAGAGGTCCATTAGCTTTATCAGAGGACAGAGGAGAAATCAGAGGTCTATCAGCTTCATCAGAGGACAGGGGAGACATCAGAGGTCCATCAGCTTCATCGTAGGACAAGGGAGACATCAGAGTTCCATCAGCTTTATTGGAGGACAGGGGAGTCATCAGAGGTCCATC